ATAATTATATAACAATGAAACAAATGAAATAAATATAAAATATTTTACATTATATGCATACAATTATTGGTTTTTGGAGATGGAGTGCTCTACAGCTCTCCGGATAATTTGAGTAATAGCCAATATAGTACCTAATTAAATAGATGGACAACACATTTAAATGTTCGCTGAAACAACTGTTGTTTATCAAAGGATATCTGAAACTCGATTAATATACAGACGCAACAGTTAATAATTGTGTTAGTAGGTACTTCCTGCCTATTGCGTTCCGGACTTAATTAAAACGTACCAACTACAGAGTATAATAATAATAATAATAACACAAAGTCAAATATGCACTGTACATTCTATAGACTATAATATATAGTGACTATCATACGACGTCAGTGCCCCGCCACTTCAATAAAATATTAATAATAATATGTATTATGCATAACCATAAGTATTCAGTACATCACAGCATCGTATAGAAAATCACACACGATCGCACAGTAACATAATATCTTAATTCATTCTTAATGTGTTGAAATAATAAATTAAAATAACCTATTTCAGTGTGTACGACATTTCGCATTTCCGCCGACAGTATTATACAGTACCTACACTCAGTATGCTTTAGTGTAGTATTATGCGTCGTATTATGTGATACCTACCTGCGTTAAATACGATATCGTATTTCTCGCCTATACGTCATAATACTCATTAATCATAAATCGTAATGATTAATGTTATGTATAGATAAAGGCGAATTAGTACGATTGGAAATAAAATATTAATCGCATAATATTATGATTTCCGTTTTTGATGAACAACGCGTTTACATTACACGCGCATCGATTAAGATTCGTGTCGTGAAAGAATTTGTTGTTATTATTTTATCCTCTATCATACAACAATCATGATATACCCATTGTCGGGCAGAAAATAGCATTAAACACATTCTGTCAAAATTAATCCCACGTGATGTGAAATACGTATAGACGTCATGCATAACCGTCATACATAACCTAACCTAACCTAACCCATGCATGTTCCATCTTTATACGTTTACATTTTTTTTTTTCGGATAAATACATTGTGAAAATGAACTATGGACAATTAAATTGTATGAATTACATTTTGTCACTACTCACTTGTACCTCGAAAACTACTACAAAAAAAGACCTCATATTTTTATTTTTTTACAACTTCCGTACATTTTTGAGAGTTAACATTTAGGTTTGTAGATTCTGCTGAACGGTGTGTGTAAGCAATAAATAATAATTAATTGTGTCACTATCATTCAGGGTTAGTACAATAGTAGTGTAGCGTCGTAATGAATTATGTACATCAACCGATTGAAAATTAATTGACGATTGCACTCAGATGATACTTAAAATATGCAATAGACACCAAAAATCCAAACATTTTCAGTCAATATGATATAAAATTTCAATGATCGAACTCTGCTCAAATTAATTATTCAAGCACATTAATTGTTGTTTTTCAATTGTACTAAAGTTACACCAACGCAGTTGCCAATATTAAAATCGACAGCATAATATCTTTATTTTACATTAATTAATTGTTTCTAGAGCTGTATCCATAACGATTATTGTGTATCAATTGTTTTACTTTTACACACTGTCTATTATAGGTATTATAGGTATAACTCATGAGTACCTATAAATTATTGAATAAATAGGTACGTAATATTTAAATATATCATACAATTTTATAAACTAGGAAAGATAAAAAAATATATCAGCGAGGAGTTTTTTTTTATAGATTTATATTTTTATTAACCACAGTATAGTATTGATCACAAAAATTTGAATTATAAATGGAAATGGTATAAGGTAATATTATTATAAGCTGTAGGTACCTAATTGTTCTAAAAAAGCCACGCTTTAAAGCTAAAAACATCACTTAAGTAAACAAATAAATATGTTTTACAATATAATTAAAGATGGTAAATACTAAATATGTATAACTGTTTATATAATAAATTAATATAAGTTAATAGTTTAGTTATGACAACCAAAAGTAATAGGTAACCTAATAATCATTGGTTATTATTATTTATTATGTTTTTTACAATATTATTTTACATTCTACTCCAAAAGTTAATAGGTTTCATACAAATGAAACGTTACAGTCGCATACAAATCATTCCATACATTAAAATAATTATTTTTAAACGTAAAAAGTAATCAACATAAAAATTAGGATTTACATATTTTATTTAAGGTAGTGACCCACCTAACAAAATAATGTCAACAGATATTGCTTATAATATTTTTCATTTGATATGTATTTGAATTATTTTTAAGCATGTGCATAAGAGCAAATATCCGAGAGTTATTATTTATAATAGTTATCATATAGGCTAGGTATACCTCAATACCTTAGTTTTAAATCAGATTCAATTATTGTGCGTACAAACATTAGAAAAAAAATGATAAATAAAAATTACTTGATGTAGGATGATTATTATAATTTAATACAATATTAGTTAAGGGTTAGTTAAGAAGACCCCACCGTCAAAAAAAAAATAATCTTTTCTTGCTTCACCCTGTTTTGCAAGTAAATTTCAACCAAAGCCACATCTAACACTGAAATTAATTTAAAAAGTCAATTACATATAGTATGGTATTTATTTAAAAGCTTGACAAAATATTTAATGTAGGTGTTTTGTGTAAATTTAGCTAGGTAATTATTCAATAATTCGTTCTCTAAACTAAACAATTTTAATTTAACTATTATATCGTACATATGATTCAGCATGTTTTAAATTATATTCTGATTCTCCAGATTTTTTCACTAGAAAAACAATTTAATTATGCTCATAAAAATGTTACAAACTAGGGCATTAGGTATAATACATCTATCTACATAATATATTAATATTATTTTGATACAATAATTTTAAAGTTAAGATTTGGACTTAATACCGCATAAAAGGTATACATTATTCAATATAAGGTTATTAATATTAACCGTTTTTAGTTTTTAAAGGACTAGACTGTTACAAAACAAAACAAAAATATTATAAACCTATAAAAGTGAATTTTAATTTTATTTACAACCAACATGAAAAATTAAATTAACAAAAAGGTTAGCCATGCATCTTATTTGAATACTTATTTTTAAATAAAATTGTATGAAAACCATATTTTGAAAATATATTCGGTTAAGATTAGTTTATTGAAGTTTAATAGAGAACAGAAAAGTATATAATATATAAATACTGATGTAATTTAAATAAATCTAAAATTGTAATATTTGTGCTTTATAAATCGATATTTAACATACATATATTATATAGTATAACCATAATCATTTTTCAATAAATAAAACTATCGGACAAACACACATTTACACAAACAAAATAATAACAATTAGCAACAATGCCATAGTCACTGACAGTTTAAGATCCATACATAAATTATACATTGCATTTGATTATAATTTATAATAAACAGTACCAAAATGTTGACAAAACCAAACATCAGTAGTGACAAGTAAAAAAATAATAATAAAAAATAAAATAAAAAAAACCCTGTCAATAAAAGTTAAGATCATAGAATATTACTGGTTATGTTCAACTAACTAAGTTTATCTTAAGATTACTTCCAATATATAAATCACAATACACACAGAAAATTTGACTATTAATTATTACACATCATTTAATTGCATAAATTATTTAACAATGGTTCAACTTAACATATTTAAAATCTTATAACTAATTATTCGATTGTCAAAACATAATTGAAAAAATATAAATTGCTTAGATGTTTGGTAACCTAAAGAATACTACATGCAGGTAGCCTAATGCTGTGGAATAGTTTATATATTGATTACAAATATGTACTGGCCATTATAACTAAACAAATAAATATAATTCACAAAAATAAACAAAATTATCATTGTTAATAAACAAAAATGTAATCATTTTGGCACAAAAAAAAATTTGGTAAGCTGCATTTGAGTATTAATAGGTATTGATTATAATATTATATTATATAATATATATATATATATATTATATCATACTACCTATAAAATATATTTTAGGTAGGAACTTACTAAATTTTTAGGCTTGGATAATTGTAATTAACATTTTAGCATTTTGGATGATAATTTATATTTAAAGTATAGGTCTTTCAAAGAAAAAAGATATAAAATTTAAAAAAATACACTAGAAAATAAATTAAAATATGATTGATTCGATGTTTAACAATTGGAGGAATGTTAAAACTACTTGTGTAAACATATTAAATAAACTTTGAATGCGCACAAATACATTTTAATCATAAAAAAGTTTTAATAAGAAAAATAAAATAATATTGTACAAACGTCCAATTAATGTTTTTAAAAACAATTTTATTTTAAACCTAATAGTGTCATCAAACAGTTTTTTTTATATGGTACCTACCTACGCAATAGATTTTAAATCACTAAAAATAATCAATTTCCTAAATTTCACTTTATAAATAAATTAAATGGCTAAATAGTAATTGTTATCTAATTATTTTTATTTGGTTTTAATAAAAATTACAGATACCTATATAATATTAAATTAGTAGTAAATATTTATATAATTTGGTAATAATTACATAATTAGGCTACAAAAATAATATTAAAAGTCTAATAGAGGATGTATTGAATACTTGATAATTAACAAATTTAAAAATTGAATTAAATGATAAATCTTTGCCCTATCCTTGGGCTGTAAATATTTAGATCAATGTTAACAGTATTGCGTATTAAGTTCCGACAAAAAATTAAAAGTTTCTTATTAATTGCATTGTATCCTTTAACAATTATCATAGAATTTAATTTCAATCAGTTTTAGGAATTTTCATGATTTCCACTGAAGTCTATGCAATTTAAATAGACTCACTGTGATTCTATTTGACAGAAACGTCCAGTAGATGTATGTATTATTTACCTATACTCTAGACTGAATAATGAAATAATTCATAAATTCATCCAGGTTTACATGGTTATTTCAATTAATCATTACCAGCTTTTAGTCTTAAACGAGCGAAATCTTCAAAAATAATATCTTCATCGTGAGATGGTGCAGGGCTATCTTCATCTAATTCAATCAAATTATCTACGCGTACACCGTTGTCATCAACTGCTGTACCAGGGATTGCAACATTATTGGAAATTGGAAGCACTTCCTCTTCAGGCTTGGGGTGCATTAAAATAAATGGAAGTTCAGCTGTCAATTCACCAGCTAAAGCACCCAGGCACAGTTTTACCTTCACTTTATATTGAACAATAATTCCTAGGTTTTCTTTTTGTGAAGGATTGCTCACTATTGTTGAAGACGCAAGATTTGTATCTTCATGCTTTAACTGCCCATCCAAAGCTAAGCCACGTTTATCTTTGTTATTATGCAAAGTAGGCTTCACTGTATATACTTTAGACAAAGTGAAACCAGGACCAACGGGGCAACCATCTTCACTCTCTAGTTCAGCAACAGTGCATTTATATTGGGCAGTTGAAAATAGACATATATCGGCAAATTGTCTTACAAACACTTTTACTTTTTTTACAGTTCGGTTAGAATTGTTGGCTATGTGGACATTGACTGATATACTTTCCCCGTGGTAATAAAGCTCTTTGTCCAAGGATGCTTCTAAGTATAACTTGTTCGGGCTCATAACAAATTCTTTATACACTTCAACAGATGGTTGCACTTCCTCTTTTTTGGGCGCATACATAATTTTCCTAATGGCCAGCCGTATTGAATTTCTCTTGTGAGGTTTGTCTTCGGCTGTATCGCCAACAAACGCTTTGAACTCATAGTCTACTCCACACGGTTTACCTGTATCGCCGGCTGCTGGTTGCAGCGTAACAGATGCTGGGCAATGAGGCGGCAATTCAAAATAAAATGGTATAGCATTTGGGCCAAGTTTCTTGATCAAACGTTCTTGTAGCCTAGTTGGAGTACGTATATTGCCAACAGGATATATTTGTTCGGAGGCTATATAGAGATCTTTTCGAAAAGTCAAGCCCAGCACATCCAAGTCTTCGCGACCATATCGGAAGGCAGCCAAAACATGGCCAAATACCTTTCTTCCTTTGACGTAATCAGGATCGACCAATACTACGCCGTCAATAGGGTCAACATTGGTGATGTGGTCAACGAAATCCCTTTTTCCCAAGTAAACAGTGATTTTACCGTTCGGTGAGCTCTTCTTAAACACCCTGGTCGGCTGTCTAAGATTGCCTCGGGCCACCGAGTCCGATTCGCCGTTGTTCTTATCCGTAGTTGCGAGCATAATTGTTTTTATAGGTATATCAGGTAATATATATTAATATAACGATATAATATCGGTTATCGAACGATTATGACTATTTACAATAGCTGCTAAACAGGGTGACGCACAGGATTGGATTGACGGTGCGGCATAGTGACGTGTACGTTTGTATAGAGTAATACAGAGTAATACACTACGAAAAAACGTTAAAGGTTGGTTGCCAGCATTTTACCGAAGATTGTTCGTTGGAGTTACAAGAGTAATATTATGTAGTTACGGATGGTGGTGGTGCTAGTGGTAGTGGTGGTGGTCGGTAGTAACAATAGTGGTAGACAATATTATTATTGTGTACAACGGTTAAACGAGTAATGTTTTTGAGCGTTTTCGACATAAGATTTTGACACTTACTTGCAGATGTTTTCGATTTCGTCGAACAACTTGCGATCGACGTCGTTTTCGCCGGTGCTGGTCAAACGTTCGACGAGTTGCGCTGCTCGGCTGGCCGTACCGTAGTCCAGCGTCATGCTAGGTCGGCGCCGGATTTTCCACTCGGTGTGTTGTTGCCTTTGCACGACCGTCTAACGTGTATGGTTGGCGCCGACGACGGCCCGTCCGGACGATGGCGCAGCTGAGGTGACGACGACGACGACCACGTATTAGTGGTGTGGTTCGGCGGTCACTGGTTGTCGCGACGACTGACGCTGAAGACGTGCGACAGCGGTTGTGCAGCGACGATGAACGAACGCGTCATCGGTGACGACGAGTGTTCGCGACGACGGCAACACCTACGCGACGTTTACACTGGAAATCGATTCGTAATAATAACAATTGGATTCGTCTCGCGCCGTCCGGTCGTATTTGCGGTGTGCGGTCGAAGTTACGAAACAATTTGTTTATCTGTTATTAAATATTAGTCATTAGGACAATATTACAGCACGATATAGGGCGAGATGATATAATAATAATGTATATTATTACTATCAACTATAATACTCCGTCTGTGTCAGTGGTGTACGATGGTTTTCCATTCCGCGCTCGAATAATAATAATAATAATATGATACGCGAGCACTACGGCTGTGCGATTGGCGCTTGGGTTTGTGTGTGTGCGCGCGCGCACGAGAATACGCGAGCGTGCAATATAATTATATATAATAAATAATAATACATTTTTAGTGTTTTTATGGTATAATTTCATTACTATCGTAAAATCATCAATCTATTTTTTCTATATTTACGTCGCATTATTCAATTTGTTCGTTTCCTCCCGCCAACGGATTATCAAAGCAGAACACACTATACACACGTCGCACTCGCACACTCATACCTCACATAGCCTTATAGGTACATTATGCGATATGCGATACTTTTGGCAAAAACTAATTCAAACTATGGTCACAGATTACAACATAAATCTATGCTATTGTATTATAAATATAATAAAATAAATAACTAATAATAATAATAATAATGGAAATTCTGTGTATATAATGTCTGAATATGGTGCAATTATACCTATAAGTGAATAATTATTTAATATTTTAATTATTTAAAGAAAAAAATATTTAAAAGATAGGAAAGTGGTGTTATAAGAATCTATTTGGATATTTAAATGTGAACGCTTTATTAATACGCAGAATTAAATAGGTATTAATTTTTATAATTTTATATTTAATTCGTTAAGATCATTTAAAGGGACTTTTAGGTTTTTACGTTGACACACATGATTCCTCCTAAAATCGATATTATCTAGGTTACACACGGAATAGATTAAATAGTATCGCGTCGACTCCAACGATTAGCGATACTACGAAATTGATAAAACTAATATTTTTTTTTTAAGAATACGTACCTATATAATATATTATTAATATTATTCTAGTAATATAGTTCTAAAATCGTTCTACCTTGGTGAATAATGATTACGTCTCAAAATCTCGACGTGACGCTTTTCTTGTTCTCACCAATAACATTATTATGTTGTTGTCATTATTCAATTGTTTATTAATTATTATCTACTTTATAATGTAAATATTACTCGTTGTGATAGTTGTTTTTAGTTTATTACTTATTATTCTTATTATTATTACAATAAATAACCACTGGTGTCCACTGAACCTGATTCTAATGTTGTACTGTAGTTGAAGTTCACCACGTAGTACGTTTAGTTTTTGTTGACATTTGTAAGTATCTATATAATCTACTTGTCAAGTGCAGTGTAATATTAAAATAATATTATTGACAGTTAATTTAACATATTATTTGGTATGCAAATTTGGTATGTTTTATTTTTTTAATACAACCGTGCGAGTTTACACTAAAGTGCCAACAAAACTACGTTTTGAATTATAAATTGATACAAGATCAACAGGTCACAATTGTCAAAAGACACTTAATATTCGCCTATAGCTTATAGGTATTTGGTTAATTGTATTAATCAAATGTAATTCATATTAAAACCGCATGTATTTTAACATCTAAAAGTTAGATTTTTTAAATCTTGTAATATCATTATTATTGTTACATTTACCAACATTTGAATTTATTACCTAAATAACCGATTTTCAATTAAAATTCTCAAAATATTTATGATTTTAACCTAATCTCGTACTTAATTGTTGTTGGACACTGAAAAATATGTGTTACGATATCAAAGTAGTTAATTCAATGTTTGATAAATCCAATATTATTTTTTTTTTTTATATTAAACATAATTATTTTATTTTGCGATCTGTTACAAAAAAGTTGAAAAATAGGCTTAATTGATAATTTTTTTTAGTATGCACAGGAAACAGAGTGAAGAGATCTCCCAGTGGAGGTACATTGTCAATCAATAGTTAATATTATAGCTAACTCATGAACTTGCATTTACATTTTTTTCTTTTTTTTTACAAAATTTTTCATAACAGCTAATGAATTAAATACTCATGTGAGTATGTCTCGACACCACTGTCTTTTTAATCTCTTTTTGGGATAAATCCAATATTAGTAAATCACAAATATCCAATGATTGGTTTTTGATAAATGTTGTGCACTCATAAAAGAAATAAAATTATTCCTCAATTTGCTGTAGCACAAATTAGAATAATATAATATATTAGGTAGGTATCAAAGAATCAAAATAAAAAATTACTTAGGACACAGATTTTGGGGATTGTATATCTATATTTTTCTTCTGGATGTCTAAGTTTGTGCATAATATGTTGTGTTATTCAATATATTTCATTAAAAAATACTTTCAACATTTTTTATTTATATAGTAGTCTCCATAATCCGGACTTTTTCCGGATTAAACAGAATGACGTTTTGTTTTAAACTTACTAATAAATATAAACAAAAAACACCTTATGTATTTATACAAATTCAATATATGTATTTTATTGATTTACAATTTTACATTACACATTAAGAGGATGTGATACCCGCGTGTGTGGTCTCCGTCGAGACTCTACTGTATCTTTACGTTGAAGAATGTTATGTGTGTTTAATGTTTTTAACAATAAAATATATAATTTGGTAAATATTTTATGATAGGTACTTATTGACATTGTAATTTTTACAGATAAAAAAATATGCTGTCATTAATAGATCCTCGTTTTGAATGTTCTATTTGCCTTAACTGTCTAAAGGATCCAATGCTGACAAGATGTGGACATCGATTTTGTTCTGAGTGTATAAATACATGGCTTAAGTAAGTTAAAACAAATAATATTTAACATATTATGTTTTTATTTATTTAGCTCTTATATTAAGGATCATAATGTATTTAAATATTGTACCTATTATATTAATTTCTAAAACTTCTGTAACGCCTTGTGTTACTGAGTACTGGCATACTATATTAATAAGGACAGTTGGACGGTTGTTCATAGCTAATTTGCTTTTTTACCGGATCGCTGGCAGGTATAATATACTACTCCCTCATGAGTCATGATGAATAACAATTTGATAAAAATGTATTCCTTGCACAGAGCAAAGCAAAAAAAAATAACTTCTAACTCCACTCCCCAGTCATTGTGTCAACAGTCGATGACAACTATTGGAACAAAATGGAGTGAAACAATTTGGTTTTGTTATGACTAGGTATATTAAGGGGCCTCACTATCACGTCTTTTTTTTGTCAAAAACTACTGTTTCTAATTCCAACGATACGTGTCGACAATTATCAAGATTTTCATTCTGAAAAAATATTCTGATTGTCCGTAATATATACAAGGAAACGATCGAGTCACATTTTTAATTTTTGTAATTTAAATTGCAATAAAAATTGTAAAAAATTCAGAATTTCCAACTTAAATATTTAATTAACTAAATACAATTTTAAAAATGTGCCTCGATCGATCCCTCGTACATGTTTTGGAAAATAAGAATATTTTGTCAGAATGAAAATCGAGGTAATTGTTGCGACGTACTGTTGGAATTAGAATCGTATGTTTGAGTGAAAAATAAACATTTTTTCATGATCACAATATTATATACTGACATGTGCGTGCTAGAGCCCTCCGTACCTCTAAAATTGACCCACATGGACGCCACACACAATAATAATCATTTACGGCTAACACATAGATCCCGGATGGCGACGACGAGATTAGAAATTGCCTAAATGATTCTCCTTAAATCAATTCCATTGCGACGCTCCTTAATAATTTAAATCAGGTAATCTTTTGATAGTGAAAACATTGGCCAGTATGTCGAATACAGATTGCTATTATTTCCTAATATGACTATCCAATTGGTACAGTGATTACAAACACTGGAGAGGTTGTGACAGTGGTGTTGTTGTCTTTCAGTGGCATAGTTATTGCATATTCTTCACTTAATTAAAAAAAGCTCTTACAATTTTTGTTATGTTACAAAGAATGTTTTTATGAATACATAGGTAACATAAATTATTACATGTATACATTACCTATATGATGTCAACATTATTTTTGTTTTAGGCGTAAAAGTCAAATTTGCCCAATTGATTTATTACCACTGACTATAGAAGGTTTATTTCCCGATAACTACACAAAACGGGAAATAGATGAGCAAAAAGTTGCTTGTTTAAATACTGGTTGTGATGTAACAATACCATTGTTAGAAGCTGATCAACATTATTCATCATGTGGATTTAATAAAAACCAAGTTAGTTAGTTCTATAAAAGCTTACATTATTATTATTAATTCATAGTTTTCTAGAAGTGTTGACTGAAATTTTTATTTCCTGGGTGTTTTAATTATTAATGCATTATACCCACTTAAAGTATCAAATAATTTTGCATATAAATCAACATTGAGAAAATTGTGAATTATGATTTTTATTCAAATCAAAGGGAAATTATTAAAATATGTTAATTTGACTGTTGTGAAATACAGATAAATGGACTTGCTGATAATCTCTGCCCATTTCATTTAATTGGATGTAAGGATACAATAAAAGATAAAAATGAATTATCAAACCACCTTGTTATGAGCGTGCATCGTCACGTTACTGTAAGTAAACATCATTAATATTTTATTTAAAATAAAATATTTCTAGTCTTGTATATATTTCTAGCTACTTACAAAATCTCATATTGATTTCATGAACAAATTTCAAATCAGAGATGGTGCTCGTTCTAAAGCTTTAGAAGCTACACAAATGTGGGATGCGGACAAAGACCCTAATTCTGAAAAAGCTTTACTTTGGTCAGTTATATATCTATTCTTTAAAATATTATTTTAAGTTAAAAAAAAGCAGAACTACCATTATAAAATTTAAAATAATATTATATCATACATTTTAATTTGATGATAAAGATTTATATAACACTCTGGACTTTAAATCAAAATGTAATTAACTGTAGGTACTGTTGACATTCTTACTTTTACTTAAACCTACACAACATAACATAACATTAAGCACAAAAAAAAGTTGTTCTCAAATTTAAAATACTATACAACATTAATAAGAGTACTTAACTTATAGTTTCTATAATTTGTCTCCTTTTTATGGTTTAAATGAATTTATTTTTATTTTTTTACAGTAATTTATATGAAAGAATAGTTGTATTGGAACAAAGTAATATTGAAAAAGATAAAGATATAAAGCGTTTGACTCAAAAAAATGCCATCAAGGATAAAGATATTGAACAACTTAGTGAAATGGTTAATAATTTAATTGTCAAGTTTGATCAATCTCAAAATGCAATATCGTTAATTACATGCAATGGTGTATATATATGGAGATTTGAAAATTTTATGGAATCTTTGAAATCAATGAGAGAAAAACCATTACAAACACAATACTACACTCCAGGATTCTATACATCTTCTGCTGGATACAAGTAATTAATTCAAATACAAAATACCTGATGTTTAAAATATTTATTTTCAATTTTAGATTATGTGGTCGAATAAATATGTCAACAGACAATCGTCATCTTTCTCTATTTATTCACATGATGCGTGGTGATTATGATGATACTTTAATTTGGCCATTTTCTGGTCATATTACACTATCATTAATCAATCCAACAAATCCCATACAGAACATTTGTTTGACAATGCAATCATCAGCTGAATCTGAAGCATTTAGAAGGTGTTCTTTCGGAAATATTGGTAATGAGGTTCTTTCTTTAAATCCAAGAGCTTTTGGCTATTCTGAATTTGTTGCCATTGATGAAGTTCTTCAAAATGGATTTATTAAAAATGACTCAATTGTGATTAAAATAATTGTTGAATGTAATAAGTAATAACTTTTGATCTCTAGTTGTAACAGGCTTATAAAAGTATTATACGTAACTATATCCGTCCATAAATAAGTTTATTTTAGAACTGTTATATTTAAAATAAATTTTATAGAATAAATAACAATTTTACAAAATGCGTACTATTAATTTTCAAAAACTGGCGAATTAGAATTTACTTGACTATCTTCGATTTTATAATCCTTAGCCAGGTCTATTTCCTAAAAATATATTTATTTATTTTTAATAACAATATTAAACAAAAATCTATTATCAATTCTTACTGAACGTGGAATCCACCAATCCAAGAGTCTCAGCAATATGTGCATAAATGATACTACCAGTAAAAATGGATATACTCCAGTTGGTATGTAGCTAGAATTTAAATAATATGTTTATAATAAAATAATTGATGAAATTAACTCTAAGATATTGCACCTGCGTAATTGTTTTCCTAAACTTTTTGGTGGTTCTAATGAAACCATATTATACACTATCTCTGTTCTTTTGGCAATATTCATCCAGTTATAAAGTGATTGTACTCTTTGATGACATTCAATTGGTGGTACTCCAAGTTCGCTATTTACTTGGTTTATGGCTTTGTATAATCCTTGGAGTATAGCTAAACGTTTAAATAATTTAAAAAAAAATTGATTTGGTTATTATAACACACACATATTTTTAATTTTTTTTTTAAGAGGGTGCTACACCTGCATGCATTCTCTCTGTCTTACAAAAGCATAACATAGCAGATTAAGTTAAGCTCTGTTAGCTTAAAAATTAGAGTGAATTGACCTCTTATAACATTCAGAAGTAAGAAAATTGTAGGCTTTTTTTATATTTTAATTTTAAAGCAAGTTATGAGTATTTTAAAATTGTAAATTGTTTCAAAATTAAAATCTGAAAAAACTATGAGGTTCACTAGATAATAATTTGAAGTTTAAATTTTACAAGAGGTCAATATACATTTTTAAACTAACAGAGCTAAACGTGATCTGCTGAGAGTACAATTTGTTATGTTACGCTTTGGTAAAACAGAAAGAATGCATGCGAGTCTAACGCCTCTTATCAAATTACACTATCCACATATTTGTATGAATAAAAATTCATAAAAATCACTAAAATTAATGTAACTTACATGGGACATTAGGTTCAGTTAAAATTATTAGTTCTGGAGGTAATACTTCAGGTATGCCACCTACTCTTGTACTAACAATCTTTAATCTTAAAATAAATAATAAATTGTATTATTTATAAAAAAAAATATATTATTATTATTATTGAAAAAAAATTAAAACCATACCCACAAGAAGCAGCTTCAACAATAGCCATACAATATGCTTCTGTTAAGGATGTATTTAAAAATATATGCCCGCGGTTAAGTACGTTGCATACTTGTGAATGCTCTAAGCTACCTAATAATGTTACTTGTTCACCAATATTCAAATTGTTACGTATGTCTTCAAGTAGTTCACGTTTAGGACCATCACCTCCAATAATAAATTGAACCTATAAAATTAGTTGATTTCGTTAGAATTACGTAAATAGAGTTTATATAATTTTAACAGCAAATCAAACCTTTTGATTTTTCAAGCAAACATCAGCAATAATTTGAGCTAACAAATCAACACCTTTTCTATAAACCAAACGACTAACCACGACAATCGTTACTGTTAATACAATCAATACATTTCAATAAATATTTTTAACATTCTATTCTAGACAAATAATTACTTTTATTTTTTGTTCTTAATTCCAACTTAGGAACAAATGCTGTTGTATCAACAGCATTCGGTATGACTGAAACTCTATGATGATTAACGCGAGCTCGTAATACTGTATTTTCCTTACTAAAATATAATAATTTTTAAATTATCAACACTATTTATGTAATTAGATTAATAACTACCCAATATGTGATACACAAATGCAGTGATTACAATCAGCTAATGACATTTCTAAAAATTTGTTTGTTATAATAGCTGAAGTGTCAGCAAATCCAAATAGTGAATGGTCTGTGAATACTGTCTGGAAATTAAATTTTATTTTTTTTGTTTATTATTATTTTACACATGATTGCTAGATTATTTTTACTTGGATGCCAAGTAAACGACCAATCATCATTGTTTCATGAGCTAAAGTTGAAAATGCTGAATGCCCATGTATAATAGTTATTTGTTCTCGAACTAAAACATATCTAATCAATGGTAAAGAAGAAACCATTGACGGTAAGACACATTGGTTATAGAATGGTCTGATTGGCAAATAGTACACCTGTTGAAATTAATGATTTATTTTTGGTAAAAAGTATCAAATAGTTTTAATTTACTTTTAATCCATTTGTCATATAACGTACTCCAACTCTGTCTTGGTATGAATGAGTTAAGACGACAACTTTATATCCTTTCATTAAAAGACATTGTGACAAATTGAATATGTGTTCTTCCACACCTCCCATGTTTGGGTAGAAGAAATCTGATGCCATACTAAAATTACATTTTTAGACATTAATATTGTGTATAACACTAAGTCCAGACCTATTAACCATAAGAATTTCTAATGATTTAAATTGTAGCTATAAAACTTAGTAGGTACATATTAATTTTTAAGCGATTTCCAAAATGTATAGCCCAATGAATTTCTTTTTTAGGAACAGGAAAATTACTGATATAGATATTAGATATATAGGTGTAAATTGTGATATTACATTTTGATTTATTATCTAAACATTTTCACCCAGTATTTATTAGCTTTTTAAGTCATATATTATATTTATGTCAACCATTTCTGACACATACAGCACACCCTCTGAACAACAGATAGTTCATAACCCGTCAAACAGTAAAATAGCCATATGGAATGAATTTGAATGAGGTACTGTGATTTTATTTATTTATTTTGACGCCATGTGGCATATTACAAGATGCACAATATTTGAAAAAGTTATAAACCTAGTATAACTAGTAAAAAAGTGTATAAAATGGTGTACTTGAAGTTTACAAACACAAATACATAGGTGGGAAACATTGAATAATAATGCAATATTATAATAAGGTAGCTAGGCCTAAATAATTTATTATACTGGGGAAGCATTTTGTGTATGGAATGGATTGTTACCATACAAGGTGGGATGTGATGAACATAAGCGTGTGCAGAATTTCTGGCTGTGTAGTCATACGTATGTAAATAACACATTACACACACACACACATATTATATATATATATTCATATTCGCACCTAAGTTATAAAAAATAATTTGGATGGAGTAATCTCATTTACTACATTTACCTTAGTAAAAAAGTATTTTATGATTGACTATCAATTATCATGGTAATTATATTGAATATTGATGGGTGAGAGTTCGCAGAGCAGTCAAGTGCCTACCATGACTACCCCGTGAGTACAAGCTTATGGTGATGAATATTATGTCATTGACTAACTGTACAATGGGTGTGCTAGGCTCGGTATGTTTTCATACAACACTATACGATAGACAAAAACGACTATACGCATAGATTAAGTCTGAAGTCATAGCCGCTTGAATTTTAATTACAGTGTACATTTTATAATTTCATTTGTGTTGCAATAACACTGTGAAAAGTAAATAGTGCATCATGATTTCGAACTCGGTTACATACCAAATTTTGTGTTTCATTTTTAAATGCACACTCATTGACCGTAAGTCGTTGTTCAATAGTTCGGGAGAATCGGAAAAGGATTATGGAATTATGAAAAACTATAATTCGATTGTAAGTAAGAAATTATAATTTCAGTATTATATTCCGTCTCTGTAGTCTGTACTCTGTGTTTGCAGGTACCTAAGTGTTAACTAAATACTAATAAGTGTGAAACATTAAAATCAAAATATTATTAACGAATATTAAATAATGAGTTTTGACTTTTTGTCTTTTGAGTAGGTAACAACTATGAACATTGAACAGTATGAACTAACAAATAATAATGCCGAATGCATTGAATATTGATAGTGAATAGGAGTTGGGGGAGATAAGCTGATAACATTCCAAATTGCCGACGCCTTGTACACAGAGTACAGATAATATTAAATTTAATACATTTCTGAGGCCTCGTACAATCCACGGTGAAGTGTCACTACTCAGTAGTCAGTACTCACTAGTCAGTAGTCACCATATCAGTTAATATATTGTACACATAACACATAACGAATTAAAACCAACTTTAATTCGTGTAAAGGTACGATTTCCCTCCAACGTCTAGCGTCACTACCGGTCTGGACGTGGGTCGGCGTCTGACTTGGCCGTGCTGTTCCACTGTTTGACGCTGCAGGGAAACCTTAGCTTTACACTTGAGAAATAAAGAAGTACCACGGCTTTAGGGCCCTTATTACAATAGTCGATCGGTAAATTCGACGGCACATTAGTTACATAATTGTCCGCCGGTTAGAGCTAAGTAGGCCGATTTTTTCCAAAAAGCGCCTGGGTGGCTATAAAAAATAAGTTAAATTGTTAAAATAAACGTTTTTATAGAACGGTCTGAACAGTGAAATTAAAGTGTACCTCATCATTGGACAATATCAGGGCAGGGCAAGAGAGCACGGGACAGGGGCTCAAATTTCAATACTACTTAGGTCTCATGTAATACATTTGACAGGTAATATTTATAATCAAACATTTAAACCTGAACAATTTATGTTTATTTTAACAAATTATTATAGTCATTATGATTATCATCAGTTTATACTTTATAAGCTCCTTATAAAATATATGTCTATATTATATTATATAAAAACTATCCGAGCAGTGAGCGCTGATAATAATTAGTCGACTATTTATGTATAATGACGATTATGTATAATAATAGTATATTAGCAATACCTAGTGATTATTGCGAATAAATTATGATAATAAGCACGAAATAAGATATAGCTATTTCTTTAATTTATAGAATTCTGAGCATTTCAAAATATTAATGTTTTACATAATCATAACTCACTTAAAAATTTAAATATCGTAAAAAACCAACGAGAGGACTTAGATAATGTTGTTAGGTACCTACTTAAAAGTTTTAAAATAGGGCAATTCACATTTCACTCTAATATCAAAACCGAGAGCTATTGAAACCACGATTTAAGATATTTTAATGTCAAAAAAATACCTAAATGGTTCAACGAAGAGAAAATTAAAGGTTGAGATGACGAAACAAAAAAACTACACAGTAATTTAGACATATTTACATTTACATTTAGAACTAGTTTATCTACTATTTACAAATTACAATCGAAATGTTAATTATGAACGACGATTGACTGAAATAAAATTTGACTTAAGACATTTAACTTAAAATTTTCAGTTTAATATAATATATTATAGGCATATATAAGTGTAATAAGCAAAAATGCTATTTTAAAAAAAAAGTTTGCTTTTTAATTTGTATACCTATTTACTTGAATACATATTAATCATTAATTGACATTAGGGGCCGATGGTAATACTCACCAACAATTTAATCTGGAAAATGAAATAATTTCATGGGAATTTAACTTTTTAACCGATCAGAACAAACTGGAAAAATGGAAAGATTTAAATAAAAGTTAGCAGATTAAAAGCATATTACATTATACCTACCTATTTAAAACGTGCTAACTGTACCTTTTTATAATGTTCCATAGTGTTTTTTTATTGAAATTCTGTGTTTATACAGGGAGGGAAAAATATCTTATTCAACTGGAGGACAAAGAAAATTCTACAACAAAAGCGGAAAGAATACTTAGAAATTTAATAAACCAGTACCTACTAACATTTTACATTATTATTACTTAGTATGACAATTTAGTGATAGTAAAAACATCGTCTAAATACTGGAAATTCACTCGCAAGGCTGGGCAAGTTAACTATTTTTTATAACTCGTTAAGTTAAGTTAATATAGAAAAATGTAAGTTAAGCTTAAAGTTAAAAGTTAACTTCATTTTTTTTTAACTTGTTAAAGTTACAAGTTAATTAGAAAATAAAAGTAACTTAACTTAGTTAAAGATAAGTTACTTTTTTTTTTTAAATAAAATTAACAATTATACCTACCTACCTACCTTTTTTAAAGCTAACAAATAACATAATAATTCAGTAAATCAAAAAATGTCTTACAATATTTGAATAAATGTTTGTAATAAAATTAGTTACTGTAGGTACTTATATTAATTTTGTGTATTATACTTTAATTAGGTAAATAGTAAATACTAAATCGACGGGCCAAGTTATCATCGTAATTCTATGAATGAATAAAAATATAATAATAAGTAATGATATTAATAATGATTAGGTATAGGTTAGGTTAGGGTGACCATAAAAATAAAATAAAAATACGGGACACTTTAGTTACTTAACTAAAAAAAAAAAGGAAATTCTAATTTTAACTAAATATATTAATATAAAAAAAACAAATTAAATGTATGCTGTATAATAGTTTTTAAATACAAATAAAATATTAATAAGTATAATATGTACACTAAAGTCCAAAAAAAAAATTATTTTGATGACGATGGCACGTAAATTTCTTCTTTTGATGTTTTTGTATACTTTTGTGCTGAACCGATTTCATCAAGTAACCTAGTTTCTTTTAACAGAATATTATAAAACTCATTACAAGATAAGTTTTTAAAGTGTGTTTTTACGATTATAATTGATTTGATAGTCTCAACCAAAAATCGATTTTTTTCATCTGTCCACAACAAATTAATGGTTGAAAAAATCCGTTCTACTGCGGCGTTTGTACCAGGAATTGCCAAAGAATATTCTACTATTTTTGATATGTTAGTTGTATCAATGTTATGAGCTTTATCTAGTGTATTCAAATATTTCACACCACTTAACTTCTACTTTAGCGGATTTTTTTTGCCATTCATGAATTCGTGATTTAAAAATTTGTTCAATATGACTGAATTCATCAAATAAATTATCTTCATCTAATTTTATGTTAGAATTATTTCGGTTGTTTTCCATAAGAAATTTAATACATTTTTGAACATTTTCCCAAGTAGGACAGTTTATTAGTTGGACCCAGCGAAATATTTTCAACTGGTCAAAGTGGCAACCCCATGTTTCTACGTAAGATAAAAAAGTATTATAAAATAGATCAGTACTTTTTTTGAATGAGTTTTCATTATACATAGGTATTATTGTTTTTTAAATAATTTAAAAGCTATAAAATATTTGTTGTAAGGAAGTTTAGAATAGACATTATATTTGACAACAAACTTGTGGCGGATGGAATTGTAGGTACTTATTTAGTAGATGACGTCACACATCAATATAATAATATTAATAACATTTTGTACGTTATCGTTATATCATTAGTATTTATAATCGTCGGTTTAACGTTGTCGATAATGATGTGACATTATTAGTTCTCTATTTTCAACCCGAAGCAATTATAATAATTTATTGTTAAGACAAGAATCTAAAAATAATGCTGATAAGTATAGATTAGATGCTCTATTGAATATTGTGATACAAAAATATCGTAGAATAAAAAAAAAAAAAATTATAAAATTATAAATTAACAATAAAGAGAAAAACGGGATTAATACGGGACCTACTTGAAAATACGGGACAAAATGCGTCCCGTATAACTTTTGTCGGGACAACGGGACACAAAGTGGAAAAACGGGACAATCCCGTATAATACGGGACGTATGGTCACCCTAGGTTAGGTACTGAGTAAATTGTTATATTTTTCTTTGACGCGGTTACCCCTATGATATTTCCCTCTATAATATAGTTATAAAATATTTTCTGTGAATATGCAATATAAAAACTTACTATTATTATAAATTATTATTTAATAAATTATATTTAATATTTCGGGTTTTTTTTTTGTATGTAATTAATTTTAAATAATATGTGGTTTGGGAAAAAATTAACTTAACGTGCCAATACAATTAATTAACTCTTTAAGTTACTGAATAACATGGGGAAAAATGTAAATCGTTAAGTTAGAAGTTACTTTAAAAAAAAAAAAGTAACTCATTATTTAACTTATTTAAAAGTAACTTAACTTTTTAGCTTAACTTTAACTTATTAACTCGTTAATGCCCAGCCTTGGGAAATTGCACTATTTCATACTATAATAATATAGTATTATGTATGATTATAATTCACAAATGATATTTAAACCTCTTTAAAAAGGTGTTTTGAATAGTTACACATAAAAGTAATTTTTTTTGAAACAACCTTGACATTTGAATTACTAAATACATATATTTTAGGCATAACGATTATCAATAGCTGTATGATGGTACTGTAGGGTTTTTTGATACGGTGCGCAACGGTTGGAGGAACACGTTTTTGTATTTGGCAGAATTCTCTAGTGGCCATGTCCGGATGGCGGCCTCTCTCTTTCATTCAGTTTATTGTATATTTTAAAATTTGTTTGTATTTATGGACAATCTGCTTATGTTGATCGTGATTCAATATAATGTATCCAATGTTGGTTTTTAATTGTTGTCTTTATATACAGTGGCGCCGAACTTTTTTTTTTTAGGTGTGGCAATGAACAATTACTTATATAGCCACCTCCCCCATTGGATATTGGCTATTAGAACTAAGTCGTGGGGGCAACCTCCGCCCCACCAATTTTTAATCCAAAAAATATTTTCACAAGTTATAATATTTACAGCATTATGTCTACAATATAGCATTATT